AACATTTATATCAGAACAGCCAGCTGTATTAGAAACAGACAGCTGTATTAAATCAGAAACTGCTTTTTAGATCAGAAGATAGTTTTTGCAGAATTTCATTGAATAGCTACTAAGAATATTTACTCCAAAGATATTTTAGATGGGAAAACATGAAGAGTAAAGATTTTGGCTATATCCTCTTAATAAATTTATTCAAAAACATTTCAAAACAATTTTGAGAGAGATAAAATCAACCCACCACAAAATCCTAAGTACTATATATAAACATACCAATAGAAAATACCAAATCTTCATCTTCAAATAAAAACGGAGAGAACCATTTCTTCATAACAATAAAATCGCAAATTAATATTAGCACCATTACAAGAAAATTAATATGTATAATCACAAAATCTAAAAGAAAAATTGACCCATTGAAGCCAACAAACCCCCCTTTTAGATGACAAACAATAAATTTATTCAAACAAAATCATGCTCCCCCTAAATTTAGCATTTGTCAAGCAAAACAAGCAAACAAACAAGAACAAACAATGATAAAACTTATAATAAAACCCCCCTGAAAAGACAAATATAATACTTGGGGATTAGAACAGAATACAGATTTAGAAACTGACATTTAGAATTTAAAATCTGAGTTCTAAGTCTTTTAATCAGAGCATACCTTAGAATTGAACTAAGTTTTAAGATCTTAACAATCAGGAGCATGTAAAGCATATTCTGGTTCACATAGAAACAAAACATTAGAACAAAATATTCACAGATTAGAACAATTTATTAAGCAAAGTGATTAAGTCTAAATAAATATACTATGTTGCTCCTCAAGTTACTCAAGCATCAAGTGTACTGTGTTCTTCCCACATTATAATAAAAATATCACAGATTTAGGAACATGATTAAGCAAAGAGATTAAGTACTTAAATAAATTAATATTATGTTCTTCCTCCAAGTACTCAAGCATCAAGTGTATTGTTGTTTTCTCCCCCTTTTTGTCATCAGAGAAAAGGGTTAGTAAATCAGAGCAAAATAGAAAAATTAAAAAAATTAAAACAAAGTGAAAAAAAAATTTTAAGTAAACGACAGACCACAAATAAAATATTCAGAGCAAATAAAAAAAAATTGTTCACAAAAACAAAATAGAAACACATCAGGAGAGTAGTTAGAAAGAAATCAAATAGGTTTAGAATCAGTTCTTGAGTCTTTTCGATGTTTCCTGAGATTTCTGAGCTAGGTGATGCTTTTTAGTCTGGATTTCTCAAATTGTTTAAAAAGGGCATGTAGAGAGTTTCTTGTCATTGAACTCTTATTTCCCCTTTTTTTTTTTTGTTCTTACTATCAGGCTTTCTTCTTCCTAAACTTAATGTTTTCTTTTCTGTTTTGTCTTTCTCAGCTTTTTCTTTTTCTGAAGAATCTTCTTTTTCTTTTTCTAAACTTGATTTCATTTCCGAAAAAAAATTAAGCAAGAATTTAAATAAAAAACACACAAAAACAACAAAAAAAAAAACAAAAAGATGGAATAAATAAAAATAAAATAATTTTTAAAAATGATTTTTTTTTTTTTAAGAAAAAATCTGATGTAGATGAAGATATTAGAAATCAGTGACATTAGAAATCCACATCAGAACCTTACATAGCTCTTCTAAACACAAAAATGTTTTTCAAAGTCACACAATGATAGATATATTAATAGAACATTAACTACAGAAACAGGTTTTTCAATATCAAATTAGAAAGCATTTTTAGACAACTACAGGTTTTTCAATATCAAATATAGAAAGCATTTTTAGAACATACTCACAGAGTTCTAAAATTTAAGAGTTTAGAACTAACATACCCAGTTCTCTTCTAATCAAGCAAAATTGGCTTTCATTTAAAGGTTTTGTAAAAATATCTGCCAATTGCTTTACGGAAACGTAATCTTGCAAACTTGGTATCTTATTTAATCCGCTGAATACATGGATTTACCCTTGAACTTTGTTATTTTAACCTTGTGATACTCTCAACTTTTACTTTGATACATCAAACACTTCAACTTATAAAATTGCACCTATTAAACTTTTCAATTTTTAAATTTATTTTGTTGAACACTTCAACTTGCAAAATTAGATTAATTACATACTCGTTAAAGAGTTGAAATTTATGAAAATTATTGTTCCAAAAGTCATGCTAATTGCATATCAAGTGAAAATTTTACAGAAAAAAGCCAAAAACTCAAAAAATTATTGATGTTAGTATCGAAAAATATATAATATTACCAAAATTTATAAATTTAAGTACATATTAGGTCATTTGTAAAGTTAAGAAATGAATTTATATATCGAGCCCTATTTAACCTTTTTCGCATGCAGGCTTGTCTTGTATAATTGGTTAATTTGTCCTTTGTTTTGCATACAAAAAGGCCACATATAGGATTTTAAAGCTCTCTCTGGCTTTGTTGTGTGGGTTAAGATTTCATTATTATTATTATTTTTTATTTTTAACCCCTTGTTTGGAATGAAATTCATTTAAAAATCCATATTTTTGTGTTTGAAATAAAAAAAATGCAGATTTCAATTTTAGAAATTCAATTCTATGGAATTGAACATAACTATACCAAATTTCACAAAAATAGTTGGAGTTTTCAAATGAATTACAAAACTAAGTCATCTAACTTTTTATGATAAAACTACCCTTCTCCTTCTACAAAGTCAATTTTACAAAGTCAATTTTTCAATTTTGTTACTTATTTAATTCATTTATTTATGAAACTTAACCAAAACCATGTAAACAAATTTTTTTTTTTTTAGAAAAATATTTTTCTATTATTGTGTATTTTATTCTAACATTTTTCATCTTTTATTTTAATATTTTAAGCAAATTTTTTACTATTGAGGAGAGAGATTCAAATTAAATATACCTTCATTATTAAATTAAATGTAATAATTTTATTAATAAGGAGAGAGATTCAAATTAAATATACCTTCATTATTAAATTAAATGTAATAATTTTATTAATATTATTTTTTATATTTTTATTTTAATAAAATTATAAAAAAAATTATATAACATAACATAAATATAAGTGGTATTTGTTATTGTAAAATTATTATTTCAAAAATATTTTAGGAAACAAAAGCAAATAAACTTTCAATTATAAATTTGTTCCATACTTGTTTATGTGGAATTTAATTGAATTGCATGTTTTAAACTAATCAAATCAAACATGAATAATTCATTCACAAATGAATTCCATATTTTGAATTTATTTATACCAAACGAACCATATCATTGTAATTTTATTTTGTTGATTATTTCAAATTATGACTCATCACTCTACGAGCTCTTTCTTGATTATGGACGTATTAATTATTTTGCTAATTAAATTATTATAAATTATTGCCAATTAGGAAGCAGTCTGGTTGGTCTTCTCACTTATGTAAAAAGTGGGAGGTCTTGAGTTCGAGTTCTCTCGGACCATAGTTATTTTCACTAATTTGGTGAGCCAAGAGGAGGGTCACTCTCTGTTGTATATTCCACTATATTATTTCGGCTCATAAAAGCCTCCAATGAATTAAAAAATTATTATGGATTATTTTTGATTTAGTATACATACATTAAAATTACATATCTTACATTAAAATTAAGAATTACAATCTCTTTCTTCACAACGGAGGTTACTATATTTTTAAGGGAAGTATTCATAATTATATCAAACATATTGTGGATTACATATATATAATTAGGATAAAGAATGGGTTTAACTTCTTTTTTTCTTTTTTTTAATTTAACGTAGGGTTCAAGTGCCGGAGTAAGGTTGCCATTGCTGTCGCCCTCACGAAATGGGTACTGGGGCTATCATCCATTTTGTGTGCTTAACGAGTTCACAAAATATATAATATATACTCTCTCTGTTTTATTTTATTTAGATGGTTTGATAAAATACCGCATATTAATAATTTAATTAACAAAAATTAAGATATTAAAAAAAAAAAACTCTTCTGTACAATTATAAAAAGATTACATATAGAAAATTAAAAAACAAAATAAAATGAAGTCACGTTTGTATAATGTGCAATGCACGTTTGTATATATTAATAAGTATATTGAAAAAGTGACACGGAACCGGGATCGGAAATCAAAGGAATGAGATGTAAGTTCGCCTCTATGGCACCCCACGTTTATAATGAAACGGAAACACCAATAATCAAACGGAAACACGCACTAATCGAGATTAAAACGCTCTATGGCAACCCCACGTTATAATGAAACGGTGGTAACACCAATAAACGAGCAAAGGGAACAAATAAACGCCCACAAATGAATGATAAGTTTGTACCTTTTTACCTTAATTCTTGATGCAATTAGAGAATAGCAAATTCTCACAATCACTCTAATTAAGAAGAACATGCAAGAGCATGAACAATTCTGCCTTTGATTCAAATTATGCCAAAAATCTCGTTTTACATATTAAGGAGGCTATTTATATGCCTTAAACAAACATAACCCTAAAGAAGAGCATCTAACTAGGCTGCCCTAGGGCCAAAACACAGGGGCTTAACTCTAAAACACAAAATAAAGTCATTTCCAGCCCAAAACAAACAACTTGATATTGGGCAGATTGCATGCATCATAAAACCAACCCAAAACAACAAAAACAACTTTAAATATTAAAACGATATGAGCCCATATGTTACATATTAATTGTGACCAAAACATGCAACAAAGGTGATTAAGGACACGTCCAAAGCCCACATCCCGTTACATATTAGGCATGGCTAGGGTGTGCTATACACCAACAGCACAGTCCTCAATCATTGTTAAGAAAGACCTTAGGTGTGCCTTCAAGTTCCACCACAAACACTTTGTGTAAATGCCACATCATGAAGTTTCTTGTGTAATTTTGTTCTTGAACATATAAGGATGCTGGCTGCCCCATTATCGTTCTTGCGACTTCTTTAATGCCCACTAGGAGGAACCCACTAATGGATTCTCCCATGTTTGTTCTCCTTGCTCCCTTTGAGCTCTCATGCTTGAAGTGATGGTTTGACCATATCATTCCCCCCTTCCTCAAAAAGATTTGTCCTCAAATTCTGCATCCATGTCAAAAGGAGACAAATCACTAACATTAAAAGGTAGCGGAAACTACCTATACTCACGGCAAGATCTATCTTGTAGGCGTTGTCATTTGAATGCGTTCCAAGACTTGGAATGGGACCATCTCCACGTGCATTCTCAGCTTAGGGACTTTCGTTGGTTGAAAACCTTTTCCTTCGGAAGGTGCACCCAAACCCAATCTCCAGGCGAAACACCAGCTTCTTCCTTCACTTTGTTTGCCCTGTCAGCATATGTGTTGTTTCCTCTTTTCAATATCTTGCTCGAGCCTTCTCATGTAAAAGGGACGTTCACCAATTCAGCCTTTTTATCACCATCTAAACTAGAGAGCTCGATGTAAAGGTTAAAGAACAAGATCCAAAAACAGTTAGTGGGTTAAGTGGGTTAAATCCATAAACAAGTTCAAATGGAGTAAAACCTGAAGTAGAATGTATGCTTCGATTATATGCAAATTCAATAAATGGCAAACAATCCTCCAAAGTTTTCAAATTTTTACCCACGATATCACGAAGTAAAGTTCCTAAAGTCCTATTCACAACTTCAGTTTGTCCATCTGTTTGTGGATGACAGGTAGTAGAATAAAGTAATTTTGTACCTACCTTACCCCACAAAACCTTCCAAAAATGTGAAAGGAACTTAGCATCCCTATCAGAAACGATAGTCCGTGGAACTCCATGTAATCGTACCACCTCTCTAAAATTCAAGCAATTATGATATGGCTCATCAGTTTTTATGACAAACGGAAGTGAAATGAGGCCATTTTGCTGACCTATCAACCACTACAACAATATACTGTCTCTACCATGCCTAGTCCTAGTATCCAAGTACAAAATCCATAGAGATACAAACCCTCCAAGGTGACTTAGAACTGTAAACATAACAAGCCAAGGCATAGACTGTAGGACTTGGCCGACAAGATAAGGCAAGAATCACAATCTTTCTCGACATCTTTACGCATGGATGAGGCCAATAAAAAATGTTCATCAACATGTCATAAGTCTTAGTACTCCCAAAATTCCCATCAATCCCCAGAGCATTTAGGCATGCAAAGTTTACTGCCCCTAAACAAATATCCTTCGTGTCGATAAAATTTATCAAATGCCCCATGTTCACATGCCAAATATACATTGCCAAAATTAGAGTCAGATGCATACAAATCCTTAACATACTCAAATCCTATCAATTTAGAGCTACGAGTAGTAAGTAAGGTATATCTCCGTGACAATGCATCAGCAACAGCATTATCCTTTCCATGCTTGTATTTAATAACGTAAGGGAATTGTTCAATGAACTCAACCCACTTACCATGTCGCTTGTTGAGCTTACCTTGACCCCTCAAAGTGTTTAGGTCTCGGTGATCAGTGAATGGACAAACGGTCCTAGGTAGATAGTTAGTGTTGCCATACGCCAAGTCACTCACGCAAGGCATAAAGTCCTCACCAAGGCATATAGCTCCTTGTCATAGGTCGAGTAATTGAGTTGTGCTCCATTCAACTTCTCACTGAAATAGGCAATTGGCTTCTTCTCTTGCATCAACACTCCTCCAATACCTACACCAGAAGCATCACACTCAATTTCAAAGGTGTTCTCAAAATTAGGTAAAGAAAGTATTGGAGCGGATGTCAACTTTCCTTTAAGCATGTCAAATGCTTTCTGTTGTTCCTCTCCCCACTTGAACCCAACTTCCTTTTTAATTACCTCCGTGAGTGGTGCGGCAATTGAAGAGAAATCTTGTACAAACCGTCAGTAGAAACTTGCCAACCCATGGAAACTTCGTACATCTGAAGTTGATTTCGGCGTCGGCCATTCCTTGATAGCTTTCACTTTCTCGTCATCCACCTCTATACCCTGCGCACTCACAACAAAACCAAGAAACACAAGTCCCAAAGAAACACAAGTCCTCTATCTATACAAAATGTGGCATTTCTTAAGCTAGCATACAATTGTTCAGTTCTCAAAGTTTGTAATACTACCTAACATGCCCACATGAATCATTAAGAGACTGTGCTAGTAAACAAGTATATTCATCAAGCTACACAAACTACAAATTTTCCTAAGAAAGCACGTAAAACATTGGTTCATAAGCCTCATTGAAAGTACTAGGTGGCATTAACATCCAAAAAGGCCATAAACTACCATTCATTACAATAACAACTATTAGTTTTTGAAAGGCAGTTTTCCAATTCAATCACCTGGTTGCATCGAAATTTGATGATAAACACTCAATAAATCGTAATCTTTTGTAAGTAAAGTAGACCCACCACAACTCCATCGTAACATGTCATCAAGTCTTAGGAATAGGGTGGTCTATACTTTACAGTGATTTGTTGACCGTCCTTGCAGTTCAATACACAGGTACCTTTCTGCTTGCCAGAATCCGACCACTTCTTGGAATCCATGCCTTTTCCTGTACTCTTGTTCTCCTTTTTAGACCATATTGAACTCCATTGGTTGCTAGAACTTGAATATGCCTTTGCAACTCCTTTGTCTCCGTTGGATTGCTTCTATAGATCGGTCTATTTGGAATGGTGAAGGCAGGAATGAAGTCAATTTGATGTTCTATTCCTCTTAAAGGTGGCGAATCACTAGGTAACTCATTAGGAATGACATCAGAAATTCCTGCAACACAGAAACAAACACGGAAGGCAAACTATTAAGGTTAATGTCAGCATTAGAAAATAAAACCTCCTTGAACCTAAGAAGCAACATGGGCTCAAACACACGGCTCGCCTCAAGGCTATGCACATTAACCTCTTCTAGCATCTCGCATAAAAAGTGCTATGTTTCTTTCTCTTGCCCCTTCTTTGTGTTGGTCACTCACTTTTGGGCATAATTCTGTTTGGTTATCTTTTGTGGCCTCTTTCTTTTTCAACCTTCTTCTTTTAATTTACTCTGTTTGTCTCTCGAAACTGGATGTCTCACTCTCATTTTTCCTTCAACTGAAGTTTCCTCTCATCTCTCAGTAGTATTTTCTGATGGTTGTACAGCTCTTATGCTCCTTTGTTCCTTTGATCTCCATGGATGAGTGTTGGCGGATTCATATCACAAAGAGTATCGGTTAAAGAACCCATCATGTAGTGCCTTTCGATCATATTGCCATGGCCTTCCCAACAATAGATGGCCTGCCTGCATCAGTACTACATCACACAAAATCTCATCTTTGTACCATCCAATGGGGAATGGCACAAGCACCTGACGTGTCACCTTCACCTCTCCACCATCATTCAACCATTGCAATCTATAAGGTTTAGGATGTTTAAGACATGTCAAATTCAACTTATTCACCATACTCACACTAGCAACATTAGTGCAACTTAGTGCAACTACCCTCATCAATAATAAGCATGCACACTTTTCCATGTATCAAGCATCTAATGTGAAATATGTTTTCACGTTGTTCAAGGCTCTCCTCCTTAACATGCATATTCAAAACTCACCTAACAACTAGAGATTCTCCATGTTCAGCAAATAATACATTATGTTCTTCCACATCTGAATCAATCATCATCAATTAATTTAGACATATCATCACAATCACTACATTTAGATTCAAAACTAACATTCCCATCATCTTTAGCAATCATAACCCTTTTATTAGGACATTGAGATGCATAATGCCCTTTCCCCAAACATTTAAAACATTTTGCCCTTTTCCTAAACACTTAAAGCATTTAATCTCTAGCAGGGTTTATAGAGTTAGAAGTACCTTTGTTTCCTTTGAATGTAGTTTGGGCAACCTCTTTACCTTTCGAAACTGATTCAGTTCTTTGGAAACTAGGACCTTTGAAATCTCTCTTCTCTCCTCCTTTGGACCATTTGGTTTCCAAAGTATTGTTGGAATATTTGTTGGTAGACTTTCCCTTGTTCTGCCTTTCTAGCTTCATGGCCATATCTATCATCTCTTCTAGTGTATCATAGCGATACATCTCCAAAGCATCAGCAATATAGCTATTTAGACCTCCAAGGAATCGTGACATGGTGATTTTTTTGGACATCTTCCTCAATTGCTTAGCATTCGTTGCCCATCTGCAAAGTCTCCATCTCCTGTAGATAACTCTTCCACACTCCTCCCTCCTTGCATCCATTGTCTTGCTAGTTTGGTGTGTAAATCCCTGTAAAATAATAGCAGGGACAAATCTTTTGGTTGCATAATTTCCTTTCATGATCTTCCCATTGGTAACTGGTCGCATTCCCCTGCTTCTTCTTTCTTTACAGTAGCCTAATATAAAGAATAATACCCCTATAAACATAGCATTATCCTGTTGAACTCCCACAGCTGCAAGATTGGGATTCTTTCTACCTGGGAATTAGTATTATGGCATTCAAAGATTTGTTTCTGACCTTTCCTTTCCCCATTCAAGATACTCTTCTAGGCATTGTTGTTGCTCAGCATTGTTATTGCCTTTGAATTCTGGAATCCTCATTTTAATTGATCCCAAGTCCCCATCAAGTTTATTAGGATTGGTCTCTTCACTCTCTTCAATATCATGGTCTTGAAATCTGGTTTGTGGACGAGTTCTAGTTGTATTAGAGCTTTGTGAAGCTTTTATCTCTTACAACTCCTCCCTCATGTCTTGGACAAGATTATTAAAGGTTCTAAACTGTCCTTGAATTGCTTTCATGAAGAGTTTTAATTGAGCATCTTTAATTGGAATTCCATCATTACCATCACCAGATTTGCCAGTACTCATGGTTAGTTTTCAAAAGAAAACACAAGAAGATTTGAATTAATGGTAAGTCACTCCCTCAAGTGTTTACACTCTTTAATCACTCCTTGCAATTCGGCGCTTACGGCACTCCCATTCCTTCTGTTGTTTGACATCACGTCAATACGAGTGCTTGCCAAATGGCCCTCGCTTCTCACCAATTGTACTTTCAGAATTTCAATAGTCCAATCCAATCACTCAAAGCACGTTCTAGACTTATCAGCTTGTAAATAGCATAACCAGTCTCCTCACACAAGAAACGTAAGCACAATTCTAGAATGAAAACTCAAACGGAACCTCGCGACCACTCAGAGTAGCCAACAAGAGAGCGCCATTGCTTATATGTAGCTACTCGCCCAAGTTGCGATAATCATTTATAGTGGTAGTCTGGATACAGACTAGTTCCACCCTAAACAATATAAATGAAGCAAAGATAGCACAAAAACAAGAAATATGAAGAAACTAGAAGGAATTTGAAGAGGAAGCGGTGCGCTGAGCGTATTTATTATGCATCATTCGCAATCCGTTGGTTACATCGTACCTCTAAAGCAAACCTCAATATGACTAATTAATTCTACCCAATCAAAAGCAAAGCAATATCAATAGGATAAACCCAAAAAAAAAAAAAAAAAAATTTTTTTTATAGAGGTACTGTAGCAAGTTTAGGCTTCTGAGTTCCTTGTAGCAGACTTGTAGGCAGTATCGTTTAAGGTACTTGATTAGTCAAGTGCTTCTTGATGTTACTTGTTAGCAAGTTACTAGTAGCAACACGTTTTTTTTGATCTTATATCCTGCACTTACCTACAATGTGACCCAATTTAGGTATGGTAAAGGGCTTTAAACAAGTATAAGTGGATGGTTTGTGTCTCCCAATTTCAATTTAGGTAGGTAATGAGATTTAATATTTAAGGTTGCCCAAAAACTAATGATTTTTTGTGTTTTTCTCAAGATATAGATCCCAAATCAAGTGCAAATATAGATTCTTTCAATATTGATATGTAAGATGGACTATCAATTAAATTTTCCAAATCAAGTCAAATATTAGCCTTTAGGTTGTCCAGCATGATTGTGTCTTTCAATATTCAATCTAGGGTAGATATGACTTAGTCTTTTTTGTTAAGGTTGCCAACCAATTTTTGTGTCGTACCAATTCAACTTAGGTGAAGGGTGTATATGACCAAATAAAGTGTCGTGAGCGTGTGATCGTCTCGTTATCAACTAACCGTTTTTTTTTTTTTGTGGTTTTTTTTAAATCAAATGAAACAAGCAGAACAACGAAAAGTATTCAAGATAGAGTGGCGTTGAATAGTCAAAGTGGGTAAGACTAGAAAATGATGCAAACAATAAGAATCGATTACAAAAAGAAACTAGATTCAAGAAATGTGTAAAAAGGAAATTATCAAACCAACAGAGATCGTAGAGAGAGGAGAATTGTCTAATGCGCGATAAGAGTGCGTGAAGAGAGAAAGCAGATCCAACAAGATCTAAAGCAGATAATGTTCTAGATCCAACAAGATGCTAAGAGATAATGTCTAGATCCAACAAGATCTTAAGAGATGAGATGGGAACACGAAGGATTAAAACAACAATGAATACCGTGAACAACAAGAAAACTACCAAAATTCCTAACTAAGATAACAGATACTATACCCAAAAACTTTGATTGGCTCTGATACCAAAGTCGAATACTGAACGCGGGATCGGAAATCAAAGGAATATGTAAATTCGCCGTCTATGGCACCCCACCCATCGTTTATAATGAAACGGAAAACACCAATAACGAATTAAAACCTCTATGGCAACCCACGTTAAATGAAACATGGTTAACACCTAATATCGAGCAAGAACTAAGGATTATAAACGCCACAATGAATGATAATTTACGTTAATTCTTGAGTGCCAATTAGAGGATAGCAAATTCTCACAATCACTCGTAATTAAGAAGAACATGGCGAAGATTAGGAATTCTGCCTTTTGATTCAATTAGCCAAAGAATCCCTTACATTCTTAAGAGGTATTTATATCGCCTTAAACACAGTGAGCGCGCTAAAAGTGAAACGACACTAGCTGCCCTAGGGCCAAAACACATGGGCTTAACTCTTTTAAAAACAACCAAAATAAAGTCGATTCCAGCCCAAAACAAACAACTTAATATTGGCAGATTGCTAGTGCCATATAAAACCAAACCCAAAAACAAAACTTAAATAAACACTATGAGCCCAGTATTACATATTAATTGGATCCAAATAATCATGCAACATAGGGATAAGGACGTACGTCCACCCGAACCCACGTGTAATGGGCTAGTGGTTGATGGCTTGTGACAACCAACAGTCACATGCCCTTATCTAACATTGTAAGATAGCACTAGGTGTGCCTTCAAGTTCCACACAACACTTGTAAATGCCACATTCATGATAGGTTCTTGTGTAAATTTGGGCTTGAACAATAAGGATGTGGCATGCCCCATCTCTATTGCGTACTTCTTGTAATGACCCATACTAGAGAAACACTTAGATACCCACTAGGAAACACTAATGGATCTCCCATGTTGTTCTCCTTGCTCCCTTGAGCTCCATGCTTGAGTGATGGTTGATCCATATCAAAAAGGGCAATGGGGAGAGACACATTCGAATTGCCAAAAAATTCTATAAAATTAATAAATCTATTTCCTTTATAACTTTTCATCTGCACAATAATATATTAAGAAATGAGAAATAAAAATATGTATTACATATCTTTATTCAATTTACATGCTCTATATTTTTTCTTTGTTTTATTAAAATAATCGCAATTATTTTGATTGTGCTTTTTAAGTTCTTATATCCGTGAAATTATAATCTAAGATATCAAAATAAAAATAATTTTTAAAGTGTGAATTATTATATTTTTATGCTTATAAATTTTTTTATGCAATATCTTGAATTAAATAATTTTTCCTAGTAAAGTTTATCTTTTTTCAAATTGATCTTTCAAAATGCATGGTTATAATTTTATTTTATAAAATATATTGATTTAATTAACTTTTCTTAGTGAATTTTATTTTATTTTTTATTGAATTTATCTTAAATAGTTGTTCTACTTTTGTAATATATTTACGTAAAAAAATTAAATCATGAGTGTGTACGACAGGTCATAAAAACTAGTGTGACAAATGTGTAATCTGCTGGAGAATTTGCTTTGTGATAAAATTCCATACTTTTGCTAGAATAGAATTGTGGAAAAATAATTATTTAGTCTCTCAGATTTGCCATAATTATTTAAATACTCGTCTGATTAAAAGGTCTTTCCATCAAAATTAAAGGGTTTTAGACGTTAAAATCATATAAAAAGACTAAAACACCCTTTGGGTGATGTGGACCATCATGGGATTGCAATGGAGAGAAACCAGAAGTCTCATTTTCTCCCAAATGTAAACTTGACACTAAAAAAATCCTCTCAATCACTGATTCATCCATTGAAGCATTTTTCCAGAATGGGATATTTTTTTCATGATTCCAAGTGATTAGTGTGGTAACCGCTGCAAATTGGGGTTGAATCAAACGCAAGAACCTTCAATTTTGAGGTAAATATGCTAAACTTTGACTCATTTAAGTATTTGCTCTACATGATTGAACACCCATTTATTTCTTTCACAGCAGAAAAAAAAAAAAAAAAAAAAAAAAAAAAAAAAAAAAAAAAAAAAAAAAAAAAAAGAACCCTTCGCTTGGGAAAAAACTAACACAAATGATACAGGTTCGCGATGTCGTCGAAATCGAAAAGCCTGTGGTTAGGCCGAGGCACGCACCTACGTTAAAAAAAAAAAAAAAAAAAAAAAAAAAAAAAAAAAAAAAGAACCCTTCAGCTGAAAATATATACTAATCCACAAATGATTCACGTTCCAAATGGTCTCAAATCGAAGAGCCCTGTGGTTAGGCCGAGGCACGCACCTACTTATTCTGTGGTTAATGCAATTATTGAGAAGGAAGATGGGCCACGTCCCAGGTGCGGGCACACCCTGACTACACCCTGACGTCCCAGGTACGGGCACAACCTAACTACACCCTGACTGCAGTTGCTGCTGTTGGCGAGGAGGGAACACCTAGGTACGTACATTGGGCCGACACCTTGCATTACTGCTAATGAGTATCAAATTAACATATTTTATTTAGGCATTTTCATTGATAATGGCTGTTCTTTATATTGTATAAAGATGTATGATGTTTGGCCATTTCCAAAGGGAAATGATTCACGGAGGTAATATTCTTCATTTGATTTGGTATAATACAAGTTGTGGATTTTGTGCAAGTAAACACTGCGTTGCCAGATTGCTTGATAAGTTAGTAATAATGTTAACTGCAAAGTTTGGTTTGGTGCAAAAAGATTTCTTGTTTAATTGAAGTCCAATTTCATAAACGTGATTTCCAGTACATATTTTCTTAGAACCGAGTAACCAATAAGGGCATATGTTTGGCTTTCTTGAGGATTCAGGCTAATAAGGGCATATGTTGTCATTTCAAAATAACTATCTCACCTCTCTCTTAACTTTTATATGATTTTAAAAGTTAAGACCCTCTAATTTTGGACAGAGAGAGACCTTTTATCGAGACGGAACGAATTAAATATTATATTAAACGTCAGGGACTACTTAAATAATTGTAGTAAACCTGAGAGACTAAATAATTATTTTCCCTACAACCGTTGAACATTATTCAACAGCGCTAAAGCAACTCAACAGCACTGAATTTACAAATTAGATCCTTAATTACAGCTAGAGATGAACATTATTCAGGTCAAACCAGAATGAATACCTGAGAAATAACACATTGGTTTAAATTTTGAGACTTTTCAATTTATATAATTCAATCACCATTTTGGCCTTTCTACTCTTTTTCCTTTTATCAGAAACAGAAATCAGTTTCTTACTTGATTTCCCTGTTTCTCTACTCCTTGTAATTTTGCTTTAAAATATAAGAGCTGTCCCTATGCTGCTAGAAGTTCAGACGCAAATATGCACATAAGAATCAAACTGAAAGAATTCAGAATTCTTCCATTCTGAATTCAGTTCAATTATATATTTATTATGGGAAATTTATTTTTTTAGCTACCGGTAAACCAAACCTACAAGCCAATGCACAATTCTAACCACAGCCAATCAACCTCAACAGAGTTTAATCCAACAAAAAGAGAAAATAAAACTTTAATTTCATAGAGCATACACCTTCAGGCACATGGAAACATTGTTGCATGACAACTATTTGAAAATCAAACTTTATAATCAGCAAGAGCTATAGATGATAAAATATTGAAGAACGCACAAAAATAAGGGATAAATTCCAACCTAATACGATAGTGAAATTAGGAATCAGAATTTAGGACGAAAAAAAAAAAAAAGAAAGAAAGAAAAGAAAAGAAAGGTCAGAATTGGGTCATAAAGAGCATCCAAGAAAAAGAAGTTTCTGGAATTTTCTAGCAGCAGAAGGGAGAAGAAGAAGATGGAAGAGAATTAAAAAGTTCACAGGAGATAAGCAAAAACACTCAGGAAAAAGCCCAAGCAAAAGAACTATATAAACAGAGTTTTTCTAGAGACTCCAGTTTTCCTATTAAGATTAGTGATTACATATGGAAATAATACTTAATAAAAAGTTAATACCAAGTGAGAAAATTCCAAAAGGAAAATTTGCTGAAAAAAAAAATTGTTAAACAATACCAAAACCCTGTCTTCCTAAAGAAAAAAGACTAGGGGTCCACAGGATACTTATACCAAAAAAAGATTATCAGAAAAATCTATTTTGTTGAAAATTTAAAAGTACGAATTAAAACAAAATAACTCTTTCTTTATGGGCTACATGATTTACAGGTTCCTTGAAAAGAGCAGTTTGACATGATATAATAATTGCATAATTTGCCAAATCATCCTAGGATGACTTTATATAACTAATTTGATTCCTTTTCTGATTCTCATAGGCATTGAGGTTATATCAAAACAGCATAAACATCTAGATTTTATTCTCTGTGAATGCATCTCAAGGTATCATGAAAAACAAAAGCCTCAACTACAAAATGTACCTTCCTCTAACTTGCCCAAGAATTTCTTGTGCCTTTTCACCATAACCATTCTCAACACCATCCTGCAAAGAATTAGGGTAAAAAACTTGAAGGAAATGATATAAACATAGAAAACTCAGATGAAGAGAACTCAAAAAACTGGTATGACACAAACCTTTGCCCAGTACGAATTATCTTTAAGCCTTTCATCAGAGAAAACCACTTCATCCAGGTTTACTCGTTGAAAATACTTAACCGTCTTTGGCTGTAATGAAATAATTCCAGTTGTAAGTGGACTCACAGAATCAATGATACTCATGAACAGAATTGCAAATGCTACCAACACAACAGGAAAACATATTCATGAAAAGGAATTATAGATAGGAGATAGAAAGAGCAAAAGGGTATGCATAAATCCACCTTAATTAAGCTGTCCCATAAAATAATGAACAGAATACAATCATGCAAAACCTGATGAACTTATTTCCCACAAGCCCTTAGAAGAGCTATCAACATTCAACTACACTGAAAACAAAATTTTGGATCCCAGTACAATAATTATCATGTCATAGCAAGTTTGCGTGCACATTAGACACCTAAACAAAACATTGTATAAATTTCATTCATTAATCGTCAACATGAGCATGTCAAACTTTAAGCATACAGAAGTATAAGACCTGGATATGTTAAGCATCTAGTTACCTTTAGCTTCATCGTCAAATGCTTTGCAAAGAATTTCATAACTCTTCTGATTTCCCATCTGCACAAAATGACAAGTAACAATGATCAAATCCTTGAGAAACAATTAAAAATAGGATAAAATGTAAATAGCCAAAGTCTCACACCAGTGGATCAGCTCTTGATGGTGAAATGCTTGATATGGTATATCTGCAAAAAGTTAGAACTGAATCACTAGATAAGAAAAAGGGACCACCAAGAAGTAAAATCATACATTTGGAGGAAATGCAAAATCCAAGATTTGGTACAGCTCGTGAACAAGGAAAAGAGATAAAAGGAGGTTTAGGATAGGAATGAGACATGGAAGGACACCACCTCCTTGCACAAAGCTCGAAAGAAAAAACTATCTCCATGAAGAATATCTTACAGGTCAGAAATAATTCAACAGAAATACACAGATTAGTATAATGGAGGACAGTTTGCACATTATACTCGATATATATTTGAAAGCTAGAAATTAGAAAAATTAGCAAATGACAAGTAAGGTTAGTGAAGGAATGACTAGAAATCAAAAAATAAACAAGAAAAGACAGGGCAGGACGAAGGCCACTGCGGCATAGCCCTCACATTGCAATCAGCAAGCAAGAACAGTACTGTGCAGAAAATGTAGGGTCCTTAAAGGCCGTTTGATATAGAAGTAAATTAGTGTTCAAGATTTTAGTGTTTAACAAGAATCTTTCCCTTCAACCTATTAATTTAACTATCAGCAATATATGAGAAAATATCAAGCGAATATTGTCTCAAGTCAAAAATATACCTCAGCTTACTATAGAAATTCATAGCGTCTACATTTGCTTTTTGGACAGTTAAGACTACAGCACTCATGCAATTCTGCAAAAGAGCAAACAAAAAATTGAATTCCAAATGTAAACTAGCACTATAATCAAATATAAAGCAGACCCCACAAAAAGAAAATGCTTTCAGCACCTTAAGAGCAATAAGCTCAAGAAGTTGCATTAGAAATTTCCCTAATCCTTTCTCTTGTACACGAGACTCGAGCTGAATTTCATATACGTAAAGGACAGGCATTTCTTCCTCCAGAGTAAACCGATAGTGTACAAACCCAACTAACATACTCTCATTTGATGGAGTTTGAGCTTTAGCCTGAGCTTCATAAACGAATATATAACGTGCTTCTGGTGCTACCATTTCCCTTTGCTTCACCTTCTCTTCACTAGCCCAATCAGGACCATAATGCCTCTCCATGTTAGCCTTAAGAAGGTTTTGAAGTTTTCGCTTTAGAGAAGCAGACAGTTTATCACCATTTCCGGATTCCAAGTACAATGACAAGCCTAACAATCACACACAGACAAATTTTATTTATTTTCATTAAAAAAAAAAAAAAGAAAAGAAAAGGACTGCTGTTACCATTTCTATTGAAATGGCGAAATGGCAGGAAAGAAGCGAGATGATCCTTTACAACAGAAGCTGATTTTATCAATTCGTCAATTGCCTTCTTCTTTTCTAATATCTATCAACCAAAAATTGAAAGTTGCGAATCAAAAATCAGATCGTTTTCTTTAAGTTAGTTCTTTCTGTGTTACCTTTCTTCTTTTTGCCCTGCTTCTGTCTTCTTTACTGTGATCGTTCGACGATGAAGCTTCCGACTCCATCACCGCCGCTGCCTAAGAGGACTGGCCGTTTAATTCCAGCTCCTCTCCTCTCAAACCGGTGGCCTGGTAGCTGGTAATGTTTGAAGTTGAACACTTTTTTTTTTTTCCTCTTTGGGAAGAGGCTCAATTGTGCCCTATATCTGTAGGAAATTCAGCTTCTTGTCATTGAATGCATATGAATGAAAACGAATGGGTTACTCACCTAAAATACACTGTTCGAATTCGAATTCGATTATAAGCGAGTATCTGAATTTGTCTTAAATCCGTTTAAAAATTTATATTTACTGTACAGCTCATTTTAAACCCGATTATAATTATCCATTTAAAAATTTAAATCTATTTAAAATTTGTTTAGCATTAGAAAATGTTTTTTATTTTAATTTTTTAAAAATGAAAATAGTCAAAAATTATAAAATTATTTAATTTGACTTAATAAAAAATATAATATAAATATTAAATAATTATAAAATTAATTATAATTCAAAAAGTGAATATGTATAATTTTTTATTTAAAAAATAGTCATCTTAAATATTTTTTAATATTTACTAAATAGTAATGGGTAGCAGGTACCGCGTCCTTGAACTTGAACCCGATCCAAATCTATTATGGATAATAAAAATACTACTCGAACCTATTCACCCATTTATTCACTATCGGAGCCCATTAAAATCGGATCGAATCAGGTGCCCGCCGTGTCGGGTTAAATTGCCATCTCTAGCAATGTACTCGCAAATTTTCTATAGATAGGAATATTTTTTTTTAATTATTTTGTAAATTGTTTATCACAAGTTAAATATAAATTACTTTTGGAAATTCTAAGTTTTAACAAAATAGATTAATTCGTCCTTACTATTTATATAAATTATTTCGTAATCTTTGACCAATGCCTCAATCCGACTATTTAAAATAAAAACAAAAATCACTGACTGCTCAACCCTATAAAATTATTTAAAAAAGCAGAATAAAAACAAAAGTTATCATTAATTATTTCAGCTCAACCCTATCTAATCCAACAACCACAGCATGCTCATGAATCATTGACTGCTCCAATGCTGCAATCTCCAATGCAAAAAGAGCTCATCTCTTTTATCCATTTCATTAAAAACCTTGTGTGAATTCTCAAGATGCAAATTAAAACCCACACCTGCTTTTCCTTCTCCGGGAATTATGATAAGAATGTTTTGTACAAAAACCCGACATTGACAATATGGTTCCATCACCTAATCAATTAAGTAACTGTTGCCCTTTAAATTAGTGGTTTATGAACAACAAATAAAATTAAATTAAAACTCACACGTGCTGCAAGTATCAGAACCCATCCCAATTCATCCTAAATTTAATCTTCATCTTCCAAATCGCGTCATGCTCCCCTAGATTTTCCCTCCTGCCCAACATGTTGTCAACCTATACAACACAGAGACCAAAAAGAAGAAGAAAAGAAAAGAAAAAAAAAAGATGGGGGTGATTTTCACATATCAAAGCTTCGCCACCGTTTTGCTAATGTACAAGAAGAGAGAATGGGTATTTGGGTTTCTTAGTGGCATTATTAGTAATTTCTATAACGGTAATGATTGGCCACTTAAGTCGCCCATAAGGGTGAGTTATATTTTAGTGCTAAAAGAATATTTTGGGTCCCACATGTATAGCTGATGTACAATTCTACATGAAGAGAATACTGCTGTATGTGTAAAGTTAGTAAGGTAAATATATAAGTGTTAATAAAAAAAAAAAAAAAAACTTGAAAAATAAGATGCATTTTAAAATGTCTCTCTCACACTTTCATTTGACCACTCTATGGCTCAAATGCCAGCAGTCGAATGCTTCCCTAGATTTTCGACTTCTAAACTTGTTGACCTAACAAACATGAAATTGTCCTAAATACTACTATCAGTACATCACGTAGACCAAAAAGGATAAGAAAATTTGGTTTATAAAGAAAACTAAAGATAAAAGAAAAATAAGGAAAATAACAAAAAGATGGGGGGCGTCAAGGATTATATACCACTCATCTCATTAAAACTTATGCTTAATACTGTCCAATAACGCGGGAAAGACAGATGCAAGTTTCTGTACATACAATTGAACATCAACGAGAAATTAAGAAGAAATATGGGATAAACTATTTCAGGGGATTTTTTCTTTATATCATGTAGGCCAATTACATTCAGTAATTTCCTATAAGCGGTATCATAAATAAATTATAATGGTAATTTTAAGGGGTCAGCATTTGGCCCACTTACCTTAGTTATATCCGCCCATAACCGGGTGATAGTATATACATAACTTTCTTTTAAGTGCATAAAAAATAATTTGAAATACAGTTTTGGGTCTAACCAAGGAAGACGTTGAGTTATTGAAATATATCAAAATTAAAGAGAAGTCTAAGTGAGAATAGGCCAGATTAGGATAAACTATATCACTCAAAGAACACAATATGAACCGTTAGAAATAGAAAACTCAATTAAATTTGTTAAAAGGCGCATTTCAGGGTCAAAATGTATTAAGAAATTATTCTTTAAAATAAATAAGTTCGAATAAAGAAAAAGAAATATTATATAAAGATGATTATATAGAGTAAAAAACAATATAATATAGTGTTACAATTTTAAAAATAAAAAAAAAAAAGGATAGTACACAAAGCTAAACATACAATTATGGTCGAAAATATTGGTAACTCAGAGATCTATGAGGTATGTAAAAAAATGCAAAGAAATGGTAACGAAAAATGCTCGTCATGAGAACAGTGAGCAAATAGGAAAAAAGTGAAACTATAGTGGCTGAATGCATAGAACCTGCACAACTGTTGCATTTTGGGATCGTAAAGCAACACTATGGTAAGAGTTTACCATATGAAAAAGAATTTTGATGAAAAAACTATTAAAACTAAAGCTCGACCAATTCAGATGAATCCTGATTAATTTAAGCATTGGTAAAAAAGAAATTCAAAGATTTAATAAATAAAAATTAACTTTGTAAAATCTAGAGTCCTTGGGTCAATGTGCAGCCTTTTTATGTCAAATAAAAATGCTAAATTGAACGAGGTGTTCCAAGACTAGTAATACAAATTAAATATTGAACGGCACGTTCAAATATCCAGGCCTTAGGGATAGAATGGATTAGTACGGAGAATAAATCACAACTGGTCCCATAAATATAGCTTATAAGGAGTCGTGTATATAAGAAATTAAGTACGTGAATCATGCAAATAGTCTTTTGAGAGTAAAATCTTCTCGTCTGCACATGAGAGAATCATGGCTTGAATTGGACAGGGAGAATACTAATATAATGAAAGTGCCTATAATAGATACGATATAAAAACCTCTGCATTCACAAGTTCCATTCGGGGCAGAGCTATAGACCTTAATGGAATCATAAAATGCCAAAGGAGAGAAAGTGCTTTGGTGCGATCTGAAAAAAAAATGCTCCCTCTTGAATTTCATGGAGTAAGGAAATCATTGGCAATATGACATATTGTCACATATTTTCCCTATAGTAATTTTGTATAGTATACATTGATGATTGTGTGTTCATTCACTAAATCCCGATTAAAGTCGGTTTACAAGGGCTAATCATAACACTATTTTCATGATGTATAACACACACGCAAGAATTAAATTATTTTATGATGTAAATTCTATTTGTTTTATTCTTGAATTTACTTTTTTTTGGTTTATTTTGGTAAAGTTAAGAGAATGTATTTAATTAGGGTCATAATGAAGTAGAGGATGTTTAATGTTGTTCTAGAGGTTTCTACAGTGTTACGATAAAAACAGTAAACAAGAAGGAAGGAAACGCCATAATCTCATTCTCTAAGATAACACTAGAAATTATTAGAGATATTATATTATAGGGGCCTAATATTTATTAATTGGGTTGAATTTGGATTAGAATTGCGAAAAGGTATTATATTTGATCAACCCGTTAATAGTGGAGAGTCGGCAGGCACGATATATTAGTTGACTATTGGGTTTAAGAATGATACTAAAATTTCGCATAATGATGTTAATCCATTTAGCGAATTGGAAACTCAAGAAGCTCACGTAAAATTTTTGAGCATACAAGTATGTACACTTTTGTGTTTATTGATTTATAAATATAAATTGTATTAATTGGATTTTTTGAGTGATCTTGCAGTTCAAATTTTTTGAGATATAATTTGGGCAATTGATAAGAAACACAGTGTTGACCACAGCTATTTAGGATAAGAAAATCTTTGTTATTTGGTGTTAAAAAAAATGTCAGTCCACTTTAAGGGACAAACTCAGCATAACTCAATCTAAATAGACAAAAGGATTTAATAATCACTCCTAAAGTATGTAGAGATAATTTAGGAGAATCTTTACACTTTTAACTATGTTGACTAAATATTCTCTGGCAATACATACCATTAATTTAATATATGAATAGCATTTGTGTTATAAAAATTGTTGAGAGTGTAGTGGAATTTGAGCTTTTGATTTCTTAAATATTGGTTATTCTATGTAGGTCAGCGAATGTGTAGAAAGTGCAAACACATAAATTAATAAGTAAACGGTATAAGTGAAGAAATAGAGAGAGTATGAGGGCGTGCGAGAGGTTGAATGCGTCTTACACTATTGGTGTAAAATCAGTTGGTACTCTCCTAAACGTTCTAAATTAAATTATTCTATCCACAGTAACAAAATAGAATTAGAATAAAGGGAAACTTTTTTAAGGGTGTATGTGATCTTTACGTTTATGAATATATATCTAATAAAACCAAGTTCTTTGTCGAGTATATATAGCTGAAGTCTCTTTTTGATATAAATCCACATAAAAATTTTTAACATATTATATTTCATCGGGGTGAATATGATGGAGATTATGTTATAGAAAAAATGGAATAGCCTGTGCACACTAAATAATAGGGATATTGTTGGTTTATTTGCAGAAAGAATGTGTTACCAATATGCAAACCGCATATAATGTAACCTGTCCTCCTGAAATCAGAGATTATCTGGTGTTGCGAGGTGACTCAGATTAGGGCAACTTATAAAGAGCGACCATTTTTAAGAGTATTTTTGAAATCTGACATGCGCGAGCGAGGTAGATAAACTGTTATATTTGAAGAAGGTCAGGTAAAGGGAATTGAGAGTAGATATAAGAAACTATGGAATTTATGTTGTGTGACTCTGGACCTTTTTGACTAAAAGAATATGAAGCTCTCTTTTACAAACTAAATCTACACCTT